TTGCAAGAGAGAGTAGCTGGCACTCAGAATGGATGGTGTCTCCTGCAGTCCGTGATGGAGATGGAGCTTGTGCCTATGGCTGAATGGTGGACTCCCAGGTTTCTTCTGCCTGCCCCATGACTGCTACCCATGCAGTCACCCCAGCTCCTACTGGCTGTGAAGCAGGAGACAAAGCGTGGGCCTCTGACTGATTCCCCTGCCTAGCATGGCTGACGGTGCTATTGCCGTGGGTTCATTCATCCGGCCTCGGGCGAGGGCACCTGCATCAGCGCATGGTGTTGTCTAGCTGTTTGCAATGGGAGTTCCCCAGTACTCTGTTAGCCACTGCAAGAGCCATTGACAGATTCTAGCTCAATTGCCATGGAAATCTGCCTGACACAGGGCATGCGCTGGCGTATTTGATTACGGTAGTGCCAGCTGCACCCAGAGCCCTGCTGTGCTGTGTGCGCGGTACACGCTCTTGAGGAGACAGTCCTTGTCCCAGTCTGAACAGATGAGATAAGGGGGGAGGGGGAGTTGAGCAGAGGCACGGAGGGGATGGACTTGCCCCAAGGCATGCTGCAAGTCAGTGGGAGAGCTGACAATAAACCCAGATCTCCTGAGTCCTAGCTGTGGTGCTGCGCTCTGAGCCGGAAGGTCCCCCAGGGTACGTCGGCACTGGAATAAGACCTGCAGTACAGCCAGGGCTAGCCCAGGTCAGCTGGGATCGCCATGCGAGGGTACAGATTGCTGTGTGGACATTTAGGCTTGGACTGGAACTGGGCTCTGGGACCCTCTTCCTCATGGGATCCCAGGGCTCAGGCTCCAGATGCAGCCCAGATATCTACATGGTAATCTTACAGCTTTGTGAGCCCGGGCCAGCCTCCAGGGATGAATTGCCATGTAGAGCAGGGGTGGGCAAACTTTTTGGCCCGAGGGCCACATATGGGTATGCAAATTGTATGGCGGGCCATGAATGCTCACGAAATTGGGGCTGGGGTACAGGAGGGGGTGAGGGCTCTTGGGGTGGAGCCAGAAATGAGGAGTTCAGGGTGCAGGAGGGGGCTCTGGGCTGGGGCAGGGGTTTGGGGTGCGGGCTCCATCTGGAGGTGTGGGCTCTGGGGTGTGGGAGGGTGCTCCAGGCTGGGACCAAGGGGTTTGGAGTGTGGGAGGGTGCTCCGGGCTGGGGCAGGAGATTGGGGCATGGCAGGGTGAGGGCTCTGGCTGGGGGTGCAGGCTCTGGGGTGGGGCTGGAATGAGGGTTTGAGGTGCAGGAGGGTGCTCTGGGCTGGGACTGAGGGGTTCAGATGGCAGGAGGGGGATCAGGGCTGGGGCAAGGGGTTGGGGCACGGGAGGGGCTTCAGAGCGGCAGGCTCTGGGCGGCACTTACCTCAAGCAGTTCCTGGAAGCAGTGGCATGTCTCCCCTCCGGCTCCTATGCAGAGCTGCGGCCAGGCGGCTCTGCGCGAGGGGAGACATGCCGCTTCTTCCGGGAGCCATGCAAAGCCGCAGCACGTGCGCACAGAGCGGACCCCGACCGGAGCATGGGAGCAGGGCTAGCCTCAGGCTCTGCTCCCTAGCGGGAGCTCGAGGGCCACATTAGATCGGCTGGATGTAGCCCGTGGTTTGCCCACCCCGGTGTAGAGGTACCCCAGTGGCCACGCTGCCTTGATGGAGTTCTTGGTCGGTCGGTTACACAGTGCACTGTGCTTTAGACTGACAGGCTCTGCTCTGAGGAACTAACAGGCCAAGGTGGGAGGTGCTCAGGTACTCTGGTGGTGATGGACTAGCCAGGGTGGAGCACCTGGGGGAGGAAAGGTGGGGGAGTGGGAGAAGACCTAGAGCAATAAGGTCACCAGCTGCTCTGGTTAGTACAGTGCCTGGAGAGGGTCTGCAATAAATGGAGGGAGGGGCTGGGGTCTCCTCCTGGGCGTGGAGGCCTGGCAGAGCGGGTCTAAGGGGGTTCAAATATAAGGGGCAGCTCAGCTCTGCAGGCCTGGCAGGTGAGGACAGTGAGTGTTGGCTGGAGGTGGCTGGTGTGGTAAGTTGCTATTCTGCAGCATTGTGACCGGGTTGGAAGCTGCGGGGGGTCAGCGGAGGAGCGAGCAGCTGCCGCAGCTGAGATCTGGCGAGAGGAGTTGGTGCGGGAATGGAGATGGGTAGGGAATAAAGCCATCAGGATGGAGCCATGGTGAGGGGGAGGCAGAGAGGCTCCTAAAGCACTGAGTCTGGGGGGTGGGGGTGCAGGGCAGCGATCTGCTGTATAATTTTCTGTAGATTCAGTCCATCAGCATTTCCGCTACTGCAACTCCCTGGCAGTGTCTCTAACTACTCCACTAAGCTTCCATGGATCCAGAGAGCTAGGGTCAGGTTTCTCTTGCTTCAGGAAGCTGGAGTGTCCTCCACCCCTTCCTTGGCTTCCTAGCCCTCTGCTTCCCACCCTCCGTCACCTTGCCAGGCTCGCAGAACTCTCCATGGGCTCATTCCGCTCTGCGTTCGCATCCCCCTTGCTCTGCTTCTCCCATCCTGGCCTCTGTGCCCCATCTCCTGCAGCTCTGCACACGTGGGGAATCGTCCCTTGCTCCTGCTGCCCTGCGTAGCTGGTGCTTTCCTCCCTCTGCTCCTCCAGTCCCTCTGAGCCACCAAATCGTTTCCTCTCCATGTTCTGCTTCTAAACACTCCTTTGTTCTCTAGTTTCTGTCACTCCCTGCAAAGGCCTTCATGCTGCCGTGTGAAGGCTGCACATTGTATATTAGAGAAGCGATAGTTCCCTGCAGTTGTCCTGGAAAGCTCCTGCATGTCGCTCCTTGCTGGGCGATTTAAAAGCTGCCGTTGGTTCTCCTGTATAGTAACTTATGGCAAAAACGGAATGCTAAGGCTGGAGGAGTTTGTTCTGACTGCTCCAACCTGCCGGTAATGCAAGAGCCGGTCAGCATGCATATAAAATGATACGTACTTCTAAGGGCTGCATATACCTAGCAACTGCATGATCATATTGCCATAACCCTCATCACGTCCCTTCCTTACTGTGTCTACTCCAGCCACCATGTCCTGTGTCAGTTCAGGTCAAGTACAGCTCATCTGGCTGTTCTCGAAGCCTCCTCGCATACTTTTGGTCTCTGTAGAAATAAATAATGCGTGTGGCAACGATGTAATGCGGCTCAGGATTTTCCCTGCTGGATCAGACCCATAGTCCACTCAGCTTGGGGTCCCGCCTCCAATGCTGGCCTCTCCTGATGCTTCAGAGGAAGGTGAAAACACATGTATGTGCCTGGTCTGTTGTGCAATGTTGTACAGAGAGGGTGGGAACCCTTCCTGACCCCTACAGCAATGTTTATGCCCAGAAGCATGAGACTTGATTACTCTCCTCTTAGCATGCGGCCTGCTTCGGGGAGGGTTCTGTCAGCAAAACCAAAAAGCCAAGTCCCAGAAGGGGTTGAGGCCATTGGTAATAAAGCTTCCTGGAGGGCTGTTATCTCGGCTGAAGGAAGCCCAGACAATCCTTAGTGTCTGTTTTAATTTTGATTCATATAATCCTGTTATCCCTTTGACTAAGCACGTTTTGAGAGATTGATGTGCTTGCTGGGGCAAAAGGGCTGCGAGTTACAAAAGTCTGTTCCTTTTTATTTCTCTCCCATTCCCCACGTGTATGTGGTGGAAGTGGCAAGGCTTTGGAGAGCTCCAGATTCTGGGTGAGAAGGGTCTGTCAGGCTTGCAAATGTCTGCTCGCACACTTGCCCAAGGCACCTGGATTTCTTTAATTGGTAAATAAAATGTTCATTTTTATCAAGATGTGGGGGTGGATGGGTAGATTTTTTTACGCTGGAACTTGGTAAATATTTGCACCAGTGCTGCAAATCCCATCTAGACATGCCTTAGCCTTGATGAAAATCACCTGAATTTTGCTGCAGTTCAGTTCAGATCAGAACTGTAATGTTGCATATGATAAAAATAGCTAAAAAATTAAAATAAAAAGCCCTGCAGCATGTCCCACTTTGGGCTGCTAGAATCCTGCCCCGCTTCGCCACCAGTCTTCCTAGTGTTCGGTTTGTTAGTTTGCTTTGGTCATCCCTGGAAGACCGAGCCCAGATGAGAGCCCCAGTGTATTAACCACTGTACAAACATGTAAGAGAGAGTCCTTGCCTCACGCTGGCTGCGTTCCGGGCCCCCGCCTCTCCACAAGTAAGCTCATCTCAATTACTGATATCTTCATGTGAGCGCTCTGCCTGTATTGATATCATGGTACCTAAGGGCTTCATTCCAGACGCCAGACCCCGTGTGCTAGGCACTGTACATGCAGAGAGAGGAATAGCACAGGGTCCTGTAAAATCTTGGCTGCCGGCTTGAATTTGCTCTGTCTTATTGCCTGCTGAGAGACTCGAATGTTGTGCCAGTGCCTGATGCTCTTCCAGTAGATTGAAGCAATGCGTTCTTCCTCCTGATTGCCTTGCGGTGGGTGAGAAGTCCGGTGTCCGACATTAATAGGAGAAGGGGCCAGTCCCTCAGGTGGCAAAGTTTATGCAGGGTCATGGCCAACCCTGGCATTGTCATGCTTTTAAAGTGCCAGGGCTGTCTGCGTATGCTAGAGACACAGGCTGGCTGAGTTCCAGTCCTGTAGAACCAATAGTGCAGCCAAATCCTCAGGGCACTCAGGTAGGAACATTGAACAGCACGGCCACCTACTACCTCCTTTCTAACTCAGCATCATGTTCCCTATGGCAACCAGAGTTTACCGGGGCTTCTCCAAGCCTTTGGGGACTGTATTATGCCCAGTGTCACCCTCACCAGGCTTAGGGACTGGACTGTGTTGCCGAGCACCTACAGGCTGAAGTGCCTGGGCTGAGGAAGGCCAGCGCTGGTTTTGGCGATGATGGTGAGGTGGGTGCCTGGTGGGTTCACGTGCGTGCTGGGACCTGCAGGCTGCTGGCCTTGCACCTGGGGGTTGGATGCAGCTGAGATGGATGTTGGACTCTGCTTGTGCACAACCAATATTCATCTCTGTATCTTCCTCCTCATCTCTAGGTGATGCAAGTGCTAAACGCAGATGCCATTGTGGTTAAGCTGAACTCTGGAGACTACAAAACCATTCATCTGTCCAGCATCAGACCACCTAGACTGGAAGGAGAAGGCACCCAGGTAAGGTTCCTTTGGTCCTGTGCCCTGTTTGCAGGCGAGGTGACTTACTTCAAGTGTAAATTAGGACTGAGGCTTGGGGAGGGGATGAATCCCTGAACACAGGATGGCTTCTGAGTTCCCCCATGACACAGGGCAAAGCCTCTGGCAGCTCCTGGCACCTCCATTCTGCGAGGGTGTTGCCGTTCTGACTGCTCGTGTCCGTGTGTGTGTGGGGAGATGCTGTACGGAAGATGTGACTCTTACCGAAAGCAGGTAGTCTCCTGAGCACCTGCTGCAGAACCCCCACAGGAAGGGGTTCCAGCATGCCACATCCATACTCTGGGGTAAGGTTTTCCATCACATTCAGCGTAAGCCTCCCTTTGCTCAGCTTCGTCCTCTTTCTCATGGAGAAGGATCTCTGCCTAGAGGGTAAAGCAAGAGGGCTTTCTGCTTGACCTTGGGTGAGTCAATTGCCCCTTGCCGCCTGTGTCCGTTGCCCCCCCCCCCGCCCATACAGGGGATCTGTCTACCTCACAGGGAGTCCGTTTGGTTTGTGAAGTGCTTTGAGACTCTGGGATGGTAGGTGCTACAGAATTGCCAAGTGTTACTTGAATGGTGTTAAAGGACTAGCCCAGGGTATGGTCACTGTTAACAGGAAACCGCCTGGAGCTCTCCTCGTGTTGAGAAACGTACCCCTGGTGTTTGATATAAGCAGGTGTGTGCACAGTTCCAATGGAGCCCGCTTTTCCAAAGTTCCTAGCTCCTGTATGGCTTGTCTGTAGGGGTTCTATGCAAGCGATGGGTGAACCCAGGGAATCCCAGTCAGTTCAGCGACCAGTCTTTATTCCACTGCTGTTTCTAATATTTCTTAATTAAAAGATGAGAAATCCAAGCAACATTACAGAGGGAATGAGTGAGAACATGTTAAATCCTCCTGGTTTTTCCTCCTTCCTTCCTCTTGCTCAGCAGGGCTATGGCAACAGAGTTCCTTCAACTGGGAGGAAGATGGGGATGGGATTATTGTTTAACTGGGGGGAAAATGATCATGTCTCAAGAACAGCCGGTTGAAGCTGAACCCGAGCAAAACAGAGGTGAGGCTGGGGGGGTAGAGGAAAGTATTTTGAGGAGTTGTCGGCCATGGTGCGGTCTCCTTTGATTGAAGGGTCACACCCCCACTTGGTCAATTCAGTCTGTAGTCTAGGAGTTCTTTTGGATTCCTTGCTGATGCTGAGCTCTCACATCGCACCAGCTGCAAGTGATGCTTTCTACCCTCTCTGGTTGGCTGGGAGTCCCCATGCCATCCTAGTGCGCGAAGACCTGGCTCAGTTGTTCATGCCTGTCACCGCTCAGTTGGACTACAGCAAGGCATGAATCCTTCCACACTTAGGAAACTCCAACTAGTAGTAACTCAGCAACATATGCTACCACAAACGTATCACGCTTGTCCTATGCGCTCTACGCTGGCTTCCCACTGAACTTCAAATCAAGTGCAAGGTCTTGGTCATTACCTTCAAAATGCTCCATGGTCTGAGCCCAGGATACCGAAAAAGAGGTTGACTGTGGTTCTCTGGCCCAGTGGAATGCTCTGTAATATGAGTAAAGCTCGTCTGTGTGGGAGACAGAACCTTCCCTGGGGTGGTCTGAGACGGAGGGGAAATTCCCCAGGAGCTAAAGACCATCACAAACTTCACTACCTTCCAATCCAAGGGCAAGGCCTTCTTTGATAGAAACACAGCAACAGGTGCGCTTGTTTCAAAAACCCAAACAAACTACCAAAGCAGACACTCCACTGCACACGCTTCTGCCCTTGGGGAGCGGATTAGAGAACAAACCCTGCGTGACAGATATGTAGCGGTGTGGCTTAATGCACCACTGGAAGGAGCTCAGATAGTAGTGATGAGAGCAGTATAAAACAGATATCAACGAGAATAGAACAAGTGTCCCCACTGAGACAATCCCATTTCAGTGCAATTCTAGTTATGCCTTCCTGTGCAGCCTCTTCTCTGCTTTAGTGTTTTGTGCTCGTCTCTCCAGTCAAAGGGTTACAGCACCCACAGCCATACTTAGATTTGATTTTAGCACTGCAGAAGGCTGCATGTGAAGTGCCGCAGAGATGGAGCTCTGTGTAAGCATTATGCTTAAGAGCAGTGCTGTAGCTAGGGCTGGCAAAGTGCTCAGTATCCGTGCCTGAAAACAAGGTCTTGGAGCTCCCCATAATACCCCTTGGGCAGGAGTGTCTCTTATTGTTCCCAGCCCAATGGTTTTGAGAATTCCATGAGGGCCCCGGGTTAGTGACAGGCTTTTTGAAACCTCGGGCAGATTTCAAACTCTCTTGTTCTCACTCATTTGACTTAAAACATCAGACTCACGTGGACTCGTTAATCAGAGCAAGGTGTCGATCGCTGGTTTAAAAATCCTGATGCTGAGGTCTTTGGGAAATGTTACTGTGCACGCCCAGTCCAGTTCCACTCATTTGAACCTATCTCCATTTGAGGCCTCTTGTAAGTAAGCATGAACTGTATCTAGAACACTGTGCACTGAACCGTAGCATTTAATATTAATGTGAAGGCATTGAAATTCTCTCACACAGCTGTGCATTCCTCAGAGCTTCCTGCTTAACCCATGCTGTTTCAAGGCACTGGAATAGGTTCTGATCCTGTCTCTGGCGCAGACTCTGTCTAACTCTGTTCCCTGTCTGTAAAATGTAAGGGCTGTGTTGAGGGAGGCCTTAGATTCTGCCCTGTTTCCCCCTTGTTGCATCTTGTCTGTAAGTTCCTGGGAGCAGGGATCATGTTTTTTATATTCTAGTCGCTCCCAAGGGCCTCACAGTAAACTCTAAATTCCAAATGCATTTAGTGCTTGTAGCTGAATATGGTCACCTATTCACATGGCTGTTGTGATTCTCTAGCGACGAGCCCACATAGTAGGAGTTTATTCCATAGTATGATGCTGCATTAAGGTTAAGACTTCACATGCTTGAAAGTTAAGAATTTGTTTTCCTGTAGCAGCCTCTGCTCTGCATACACTCCCTGATCAGTGTGTTGTGTGGTGCAATTAGAGGAGCCCTACCTGGCCTTCTCTCTCGCTCTCTCATATATAAAGGCAAAACAGGCAACATCCAAAATTCTACGTGTGTTTAGCGGGTGGAGTTGGGGTTGCTGTGGGAACCAGCACTTGGAAATTCCTGACTTCTGCAATGTTGCATTAATTTGTATGCATGGAATCGTGAAGAACTTCCAAGATTAGATGGTCCCTCCTGCTGTTTCCTTTGCGCCCTGGTGAATGGAGCATCCCATTTACATTGCAGGAGGGAAATGTGGCCAGGTTAGAGGGCATGGAGTGCCAGGAGCTGACTGGTAGGGGGAGCTCACTTTTCATAGATCACGCAGCCAGACGGGACCATTTCGGCCAGCGTGTCTGACCTGCTGTGTAACACGAGCCATAGAACTTCTTCACGATGATTCCAAGAGCAGGTCTTTCAGAAGCTTCCAACCTTGATTTAAAAATTCAGTGATGAAGAATTCACCATGACCCTTGACATTGACCTTGCTTGTTGACCTGTCCCAGGGTAGCACTGGTGACAGGTGGCATCATGACAGCCCCAGTGCCCTGCAGACCTGTCCTGTGAGGTAGCTCCCCAGCTGAGCTTGGGTTGTCACGCTGCCCCTGAGATGCTGCCACACAGCCTTGCTGAGCAGAATGTGTCGTGTCCTTGTTAAGTAGCCTGCTTTCCCCTCGGTGTCCCGGAAGACCAGCAGAACGGTTACATCCTGGCAGTGCTGCCAGCTCTAGGCTTCGCCTTTGTATGTATTGGAAAATTATATTTCCTCACTTAAAGTACCATGTCCTCCAGAGCACAGGGGTTAATGTCTTTCCACTCTTCTGGGACACTGTCCTCCCCTCCTTCATCTCGACTTGGTCTGCAGATGATTGAAGTCTACTGCTGAAGTGACCTTCTAAACGTACCCCTTGCAGCCCTGAAATCAAGGTCCACGATCAAAAACAGGATTCTCTCCCCACCGTCAGGGCTCAGATTGCATTGTGTCCTACCCTCCGGCAGTGTTATGCTGCCACTTCCCTTCAAAATGCTTGGGTGTGTGTTTTGTTTAGCCTCAGAGGCTGGAGTTGCAATTGGCTGTGTGTTTGGGAAATAGTGTCCTACACAATGGCACATGTGTGCTGACCTCTGGAGCTCTGGCCTGATACAGGGGTTTGGGGCCAGCAGTATGTGCTGCTTTCAGATGGGAGACTCCATTTGAAACAAGCACAGGGGCTGACAAGATCCCAAAGGTTGCATCTATGTGCTGTGTGTATGGTTAAAAACATGCCACAAGAACCGGAAACAGCCTCTTGCTCTCACCCAATGTGCTGGCCCTTTCCTGGCTTCTGACAGCAATGCGGTAGTGATCAGTCCCTTCATACATTGCACCTCTGCAGCATAGACAATGGGATTCTGAGATACGTCCACATGAGCAAACACCTGTTTTGACCCTTGTACCCTAATGATCACTGCATCCAGGTGTGTAAAACAACGAACTTCCCGGGTCTGAATCACCATCTAGCCAGGACACTGCTGAGTCCCCCACGTGTCTGTATGATTTGCTTCCCCACAATTGACATTCTTTACCTGCAGCCAAGTAGCCCTTGAACTTCAATCTGTTCCCATCTGCTTGTGCCTACTGCTTCCTACCTCTGGCACCGGCCTGGACTGCTGAGACCAGGTAGCCTGTGTTTGGTGCTCCTCCCTTCCTCCTTAGGTCCCTCTGTAAAACTCCCTTCAGGGCTAACCCATGTCATAAAGGGCTGTTACCTGCCTCATCCTCTGGGTCACCAGGCCCATGTCTTTGTTTAGATGGCATGCTGCTCAGGCAGAGGTTCCCAAACTCTTTGCCAGCATGACCCCATTTGAATGAAGTATTGCTTGCCAGCACCCTACACAGCATGGAGGGTGCCAGTTTGAAGAGCAAACTGGTGTCCTTGCATGCACTGTGCGTGTGAGGTCACGCTGCATGGAGGGCACC